TGGTGCAGTGTTATCTCCCTATGATGTCAGGTCCCAAAATAGATCTACAAAAAGTGTGATTTTATGATCTTAAGAAATACAAAACCAATTCTTTAAAATATAAAGGTGTAGTTTATTTTCCCTTAGTATCCTTGCTAATTATAGAATTATACCTTTAAAAACAATAAGTACAATAGAATGAACTTGATTGTTTTGGTGAAATGATGCATTGTCAAAATATATAGTAACTCATAAATATAAAAAATATTTAACATTTGTTTAATGTCTAATGCAAGTTGAAAAACTTCCTCAAGTAATTGAATATGGCGAAGTGTTATCGCATATGATGTCAGGCCCAAACTAGACCTAAATCTAAAAAGTGTGATTTTATGATCTTAATAAATGCAAAATCAATTCTTAAAAAATGTAATTCTTTTAAGTTAAAATTTCTTTGAAGGTGTAACTATAGTTGTTTGGTTGGTGGAAAAAGAAATTCAATATAAAATTGTAGTGAACTTCAAATGCAATCAGCAGTTTATTTTGAGTGCATTTGAAATTCGTTAAATTTGGGTGATTTTTAAATATGTTGAAAATTGTAGTGATTACTGCACCCATCATGATCACAATTGCACTGCTGCAACTGACCACCACTGTTCGACACTGCTGCCGCAACAGCCTCTAACCACCACCACCAGCCACTACTAGCAGCCACCTGTCGTCACCACAATCACAACCGCCGTTCTGACCACCCACAACCCACCTACTATTGCCCTTAGCCACTGCCAGGCCTACCACCCGCATCCTGCCATTGCCGCCTGCTATAAGCAGCAATTCAACATTGCTGCCACCTTGCCGACAACATCACTAGCATCGCTACTAACAGACTCATTTTACAATAAATTTGTCTCTCTTCAAACAAAAAAATGTAAAGTCCTACATTTACTTTACATTAAACCATACAACTCCAAAATATTTCAAATACAATGCATTACTTTTACATTGTATTTTTTTTACACTTCATTCCTTTTTCAGCAAACAAACAAACAACCCCTTAGTATACATAGAAAACTTCAACATTTGTTCAAAATCTATTAAAACTTGAAAAAACATGCTAAGTGATGCAATATGGTGCAATGTTATCACCCTTAGTATTAGGTTTCAAAGTACACCAAAAATTAAAAAAAATGTAGTTTTTGGATATTTAATTATCTCATAATCCAACAAAAATTCTTTGAAGTGCTTCATTTATTTCATAACAATTTTGGTTCTTTAATTCATCAAACAAACTATTACGATATGGCAAATGCAAGTATTTCATTTTTAAAAGTCTATTATTCATTTTAACGATAGTGATAGTAGATTCCCTTCAAAACTTTCTCTGTCTCTCCATGCACATATAATAAATTTTAACTTGTCCTATTAATTTTACTTCCTCAGATATGATTTGTCATTCACAAAAATTATCTAAACCCAATATAAACTTAGTAAGAACTTTAACATCAACTTTGTTATCACAAGCAGATACTTCAACTGTAGCTTTTTATTGTGCCATGAGGTATGCCAAAAGTTTGATGTTAATAATTTGATAAGCGCCATTATTAAAATCAACATTGAAGAGAATAAGTTACGGTTGGAATCTACTTCAAGTAAACATGCATGAGCTTGGCTAGTATCCTGAGTCAATTTACGTTTTAACCATATAAATGCCATCATAAAATTTATTTTGTTTTATTCAATAATTCAGCCAATTAAATTTGTAAGGTCAAAATATCATCCTTTTCAGCATATATTATTAGGTTATACTGTTAAATTAAATGTTTCAAATCATCTATTCATAAACTTATCATCCATAGTTTAGTGAAGCACAAAATTAGCTCAAATTAATTGTAGAAATTCTTATAATTCAAATCTTAGTTTATTTCAAAACTCTCAATTACTCAAATCTTAAATTCTTAAAAATGAACACCATAATTTGACTACAATGAGAAAAATCATAGATTATTACACAATAATTTCAAACAACAAAAGCCACCGCTTCATAAAAACATATATATAATATACGCCACCACCTACAAAACCACGGTTTTTCAATAAATGGCGGCACGATGAAATCGCAACAACCTCCCACTAAGCCACATTATAGGAAACTTAAAATAGGTCAAATCACACAATTTGAATTCCAATTTTGACTTCACAAAAAAAAACAAGCTTACTTAAAATAGGTCAAATCATCGACTTAATACTAAGAATCAAACTAATAGAGAACACGTCATTCTCATAAATATTCATCAACAAATGAAAACAAATAAACTTTGCTCAGTTCAAAGCTTGATGTGATACTTCTGATGAGAATAAACACAAAGTTCTAGCAAATTTGTTTGTTAGGACAACTTAAACATTGATGAATATAACATTTGATATCCATCAGTTATCAGGCAAATTAAGATATAAATTCTGTGCTTCATATAAAAGAATATGCGAGTCATCACAATTAAATGTCATGTCGATAAATAAGATATCTATTGAATCTACAGCCAATAGCTTATACAATCAAATTATCCAGCACGATCTCATCAGGAATAAGTTACTAGAATTATCTAATAGAGAATTACAAGTTGATTCACAAGAAAGAAAAAAAAAAGAATCCAAGAAATAGACGCAAACTTATGAATTAAAATCACAGACATATTAGACACATTGAAAGTTGGATTATAATAAAATTTATCTGACCTAAGACAATTTAGGTTACGCTATTGATAATTATTAAAACCACACTTCCTAAATTTGTGATCGTATTGGTGTGGACCTTGTTCTACTCACTGCATTTGTATAGACAAATTTGTTGATACTTTATGAACTATGTTGCATTGATTAGTTCATCAGATTGTTTATAAATTAGGAAATCCAAATTTAGTGTATACAGAAAAGTATGCCATTTGGGAATACTTTTTATTTTTTATTTTGTTTTGTTTATGTTTTTTATTTAAAACAAAACATGTTTGGAATGATATAACATGTATAGGAGTTTCTAAAACACTACAACAAACTCTTAGATGTTTTAACTGTTTTTAAAAATAAGCTAATTTATTTTAAAAATAAAGAATAAAACATTCAGAAAATGCACCAAACAAAAAAGATTTTAAAATAAAAGCAAAAACAAAAGTAATCCCAAACAAGCCCTAAGCAATTCATTAGACACTGCTTTTTATTCATTGTACACTCTCTTTTCGATTATCTGATGAGAAAGGCATACTTGGATTCTCCCTCTCTTGCTAAACTCCTTCATGTATAATTTTCTTTTTCTTTGAATGTTTTTTAACAAGTTACAAACCAAGTTTTATCAACTGAGACAAGGGAAGAATCATGATTACATTGAAGATGTTGATAATTATTAGCTTCTTGATTCTATTATAAAAGGTTAGAGAATTGATTTATTAAGAAATTTATTGGGCTATGAAATTTATATGCATTATTATAGTTCTACTCTTAACGGCATATTTTGATTCGTGGTACCAACTTGTTGTGATTAATTAAAAAAAGAATTCACCTAATGATATAATTTTGATTTATAATGTCAACTTTATCCTGATTTATAATTAGATTAAAAACAAGGTCAATCATTATCTTCTTGATTATCTTATTTGACGTGAAGGCACAGATTTACTAAGAAAATTTATTAGGCTTTGAAATTTATACGCCTTATTGTCTTTATTCCGTTATTAAAATATTTTGATTTGTGATGTCGAATTCTTATGATGTTTTAGAAAAATTTTCCTCAATGTTATTGTAAGTCATGCTTCAAAATATATTTCATGTTTTATGAAGTTTAATTTCTATTTGTTGTTGATAATTTTTTTGAGGTATTTAGATAAATATCACACAATTCGTACGTATTTACATATCTAACACGTAAACTTTCACATTTTTATCCATAACATTCAAATCGTTAACATCACATCCAAAATATCACTATTATTTTTTTTTAAAAGTGAAATGCACATTTTCATGCATAGGTTTATCTGACCAAAGTATTATAATTATAAATATGAAAATTCAGGTGTTGGATAAGCAATAAGAATTGTGTGGTATAATGTAAATTTCCCCTTTTTTAATTATTATTATTATTTTTTTTTGTTGAGTGACTTGATCCTCAAATTTCTCAAATTACAATCCTCAAATTCCCCAATTTGTAATTCTTGAATTCCCTTTATTTATTTATTTTTTGTTAAATGATTTGATCCTCAAATTCCTCAAATTGTAATCCTTCAACGGGAAACCTTCCTAGCATGCAAAAAAGTTGCAGGGAAAACATCACGGACAATAGAAGCGAATAGAAAAAACATGATGATGATGATGATATGTATCATATACATAGCCATTGGGTGAGTGCGCTAGGCCTCAGTTTAAAATAAGATGTGGGTTAAAATGTTCAGGGAAAAAAAATATATGAACTATTTAAAAACATGATTGATACTAATGTTATAGATATTGCAAGGCTGAAATATATTTAGAAGGATAAACATCACTTATCCTCACACAGTTTTCACCATTCATTACAAAGTTTAAATGGTTAAGATTCGAAGAAACTAAAAGACAAATATGAGCTATTTTCTTTGCATTTAACTACTACGATCTCTCTCTCTCTCTCTCTCTCTCTCTCTCTATATATATATATATATATATATACACACACACACACGTACATATTTATATATAGATTTATCTGCGTGTAGGATGGCAGTTGGTAGGCAGCTGCATTGTCGGTCGTAAGACCCTCTGACTCGGGTCCGATCCCTAAAGGTACAGTTAGCAGATATAGAGAGCGGTATTTTCAAATACCACACTTTATATATATATATATAAAAACCAAATTTAAAGATTTTGGTTGTTTGTTAAACTGCATTACGAAGACACAACACTTTTTAACACAGAAGAAAGAAAAAACAATTTCTTAACGCAATTCAAAAGATAAATATTGAGTTCAATGATGCTCTTAATGGAAGCTGATGGAAGGAGCATACCCATTCACCAGGGCAAAGTGCCCGATAGTACTTCGCAAACTTGGTGCAGTCAGAAGAATCGTCTCCTTTAGCAGCTATGCACCTGAAAGCATATTCCATTGAAATTAAAGACTCGGGAAGTATACCACAATCTCACATCCATAGTGTAATAGTAGAACTGATGAAGTAAAACAAATTGATTAATAAGGCCACCTTTCATGCCATTACCTATGATATTCAATATATCGAGTGAAGCAATGCCTAGTTTGATTTGTTGTTGGAAAACGAAAATCCGATGGAGCGGTTTCCAGCTGCAAAAACAAAATATAACATTAATGCTATCATGTAGACGACCAATATTGCAGTATTCACAGCTCAATAAATGCAAAAAAAAAAAATAATAATAATAATAATAATGATCACTTGAAGAATTTTAAACCTTTATCATTGGTTTATCCTCTTCAGCAGCTTCTTCTTCTTCCGACTCTTTTGGCTCTGGAGCTCTACTGTTTTCCTCTGCCGTATCATTATCATTCTTAGCAGTAGGGGCGTCATCAGTCTTCTCTGTGGAAACAGTATCGGGAGTAACAGTAACAGAATTTTCATCATTAATACTTTCAGTAGCAGACTCTCTCTGAGTCGGCACTGCTTTTAGCAGAGACCATTGCTGAAAGGAAAAAAAAATGTTCACATTAAAATAAATTATGAAGTCTGATGACACTGATTTTTCCCCAAAATAAAAACAGTCATTCCAAACTTCCAAGAAATCTACTTCTCAGTTGACAAAAGACTACTTTTCTTCTGCTTCATAGATCCTTGTAAATTTTTTAAGACAATTCCTAGGATTATACAACATCAATACATAGTTAAACCCATAATTAAATGAGTTGATGAACATTGTAAATCTTTTAAGATAATTTGTAGGATTAATCATCCATTAAGAAGTTCAGATTATAAGACAAACCCTGTAGCGATTCCACCTCTAATGAAATCATTAGGCCAACAACCAAACAGGGCATTGATACCTAAGAAATCTGTAATTCAAGTAAAGAATGCTTATTGGCAATGCAAGTTAGTAACTAAATTATTCTATCAAAATACCATGTCGCGAGAAATAGAGCTAATAAAGTGAGGGTCAATCTCCATCAGCCTAATATATATATATATATATATATATATATAACATTACAAAATCAAGAGGCCAGATAGGAAAGAGAGCTAGAAACAAGAATTCTTATGTAAGAAACACGTGGGTGAAAAAAACATGGTGTATAGCGCATTTGAATAATATCCATTATTAGTATAAATTTGATACAAGGGTGACTCATTTCAAAATAAATGGAGGGACTTTATATAATACACCCTTGGGAAGTAAGAAAAGGGAAAGCGGAGCACACCAAATTAGGTTCTCAGCACATCAAATGTGAATATTATGGATGTAATTGAAAACAGAGGCTACATCATACCCAAATATGATCATTTTGTAATCCTTGCTGACGATAGTTATGGTATGTCTCCTTGAACATGATGCAAGCAAGGTTGTGCAAGCCGTGTTATGTTGTAAGCATGAATGCAAAACCTATTATAACAAGTCTGCGACGTAGTTCTGGGTGCAATAACAGCTATAACAAGAGTGGGGCTGCAACATAAGGCTGGAAAGAAACAATGAATACAGCACAAGTGAGGTCGGGCATAGGTCTTAAGAAAAATAATTGCAGCGCGCATAAGTTTGTGTGGTATTAGTCTAGAAGTTATGGGTAGCTACAACGCAAGTAAGGCTGCAATGTAGGTCGTATGGAAGAAGGCTATATGACACAAGATAAATTGTAGTACAGACATTGGTATGGCCAATAGTTTGGTGCAAGCAAGATTAAAACATAAGTTTGAAAGCAGATGGTTGTGGCGCCAATTTGGATGCAACAATGACTACCACACAAGTGGGTTGGAGTGTAAGTTTTGAAGGAGACAACACTAGCACAAGTGAGATTGTACTGTAGTCTTGAAGGAGACTATTATGATGTTATGATGCATGGATATAGACACGACAATACAGAGAAACAAGATGACACATACAAGTGAAATTTTTATTATTAAAAATATAAAACACGGATATGCGTCGAACACAACATTGTAATTGAAAGGGGCATTTAAATACACACCATCCATTTCTTTTGTATTTATATATCTAACATCCAAACTTTATTTTAAACCACAAAAAATATTTCATATCACATCTAAAGTACCACTATTTTAACTAAAAATTAAATATACCCTTTCATACATAAGTAAAATGACATATATATGTAAAAATTTTATGTGTTAGATATGTAAATGCATAAGAATTGAGTGGTTGTATGTAAATCTTCTTAATAAAAAATTAAAAAAAAGAAAAAAATTAAATAAACAAAATATTAAAAACAATAAAGAATAAATAATAAGGAATTTAATAATGTTAATTTTTAAAAGCTAAGACATCCACAGGTATTGTTTTTGTTATGATATAAAAAAAGTAATTGCATTATGTCAAGATAAGTTTAAATTTTAAATAAAAAATAGAATAATTTCGTTAATATTTTAAAATTAAAAATAGATATGCTTTAAAATAGTTTTTAAAAATTTTAACTCATTAATTTATCACACGTGTGCAATTTTTTTAAAAATAGTATTTAAATTGGATGCTTTTATGTCGTCTCCAGCACATGCTGGTGACGTTCCTTGTATGATATGTGTCTGAAACTGCACTGTTCTTTAATTATAAGTATATGTGCATCATAGTTATGAAGCAAGTAAGGTCAGGAAGGATATTGCTGCAACACAAGCAAGATTACAATATAAATAATTGCAGCATAAGCAAGGTTGCAACACCAGTCTTAAAAGAGACTCTTATGTTATAAGAGCTTGTGGCATATAATTTGATGTAACAATGACTACAATGAAAGCAGTGTTGTTATGTAGACCATGAAAGAGATTGTTGTAGTGCAAGCAAGGTTGTGCCATGGCTCTGGAACATAAGCGACATTGTCATGTAAGTTTTGAATTAAATAGAATTAAATAGCTGCAATACAAGTTCATGGTATAGATCTTGAGGAGAACTAAATCATAAGTAAGACGTTACATATTCTAGAAGGACATGGCTGTGGAACAAGTTATGTTACAATGCAAGTCTTATTGCTAAGCGCAAGCAATGTTTGCAATGTAGAATACAATGTATCAATAACTACAACATGAGCGGCAATGCCATATACGCTTCGAACTCTGGTTGTCGTGTGTCCCCCACTCGAGGTCAAAGTCCACCGGCTGTCGCTCCTCGCCCGCAAACGCCAGCTCACTAGCGTCGCTTCCTCCACTTGCCGGCCACCTTTGTCTTCCCAATGTCATCTGTGTAAACAGGATGAGGAAACGAATGTGCATCTTTTATTCCATTGTGCCTTTGCTAGAGAAATATGGCATACTCTTGGGCAACATTTCCATATTAGTTGGTATAATAGGTTTTCTATTGAAGAGTATCTTAATACTTGGAGAGCTGCTACACATTTTGATAAAAATTTGGTGTGGTTTCCTTTAGTGGTGCTCTGGTTCATTTGGATTGCCAGGAATGATACCAAATATGAAAGTTCTGATGTTGCTCCACTTACTGTCAGTCATATTCTTGCTCACTTTAATAAAGCTAGTCGTATTTTGAATTTGTCTTTCTCGAAGCCAAGGGTGGGTAGGATGGCCACAGTATTTAGGTGGCAACCCCCTCCTCTGGACTAGATTAAAATTAATATTGATGGAGGTTGAACTTCCATTGCGGCTGGTGGGGTGTTTCGTAATCATTTGGGACATTGTCTATGTTTTTTTGCAGCTCCCATTTATGCCTCCACTCCTTTTGAGGCTGAGAGTTAGGCGGTGTTGTTGGCTTTACAGGTGGTGGTTTGATGTAAGTTGACTAAAGTTATTGTTGAAACTGATTCACAAATCCTTTATGATGAGTTTACTAGGGCTTCGAGATCCAAATGGAATATACTTGTTACATTAAACAGGATTAGGGATCTCATGAATAAGCATCATATTACTATGCATATGTCTTTTATTTATAGAGAAGGTAATTCTCCTGCGGATTGGTTGGCTTGAAAAGATAAAGAAGTTGCTAACCTGCTATTTGATGTTACTCCCTCGCAGCATTTAAGGATACTTCTAAATGGTAATTTACATGATATGTCGTATATCAAAGCCTAGTTTTGACTCAGGTTTTGGTTTATTTTTTCTTTACTCTCTGAAGGGATCTCCCTTTTATATTTGTTTAGCTGGACTGTTTTCTTTCATGCAGTTAAATATAGCGTTGGCTGCACCTCCATATTTTGATTTTGTGTTATGATTTTGGATTTTATGTCGTGTCTCTCTCGGCAATGATGATTTTAATGGTTCTATCTATATTTGTGGGAGACACTTGGGGCTTCTTGCTGAAGCTTGCCCGAATCTGATGGTTTTTGTTATTCTCATTGAGGCATTCGAAATACCTTGTTGGTGCTTACTCCCTTCTTATATAAGATTTTGTTGGACGGGTTTCTTGCGTGATGATCTAGTTAGAGTTGGCTGCTCCTCGAAATTGTATTTTCCTCAGCTTTGGAGGCCTTCCGGTCTCCTTGTTGCTGCTTCCGTAAAGCAGATAGTTACCTTTGGTTTCTATATTCTGCTTTCTTTAACAATGATGTTTTTAATGGTTACTTTCTTTGTTGGTGTTTACTCAAAACTGCTGGTGAATATATCCTTCCGGCTGCTGCTATCTATAGCATCTACATTAAGGCTCTCATCTTTTTATTTCACGCTTCAACTGCTTTGCACAACCGGTTGCTTTATACTGGAATTTCAGCCTCTGTACTGTTTTGCTATCCTGGAGATCTGCACTTCGAAGATGAAGACATTGCTGGTTAAAAGCTCTCGATTCACCAATACTTCTTTTGTCTCTGAATTTTTTCGGATTAACTTTTCTTGCTTGATTTTTGGGGTTTACTTGTATGTAACCTTTTGGAGATTTTGAGGTGCGTTGTACTGAGGGAGGTGTACTCTTTAGGGGTGCGTGCTCTGTATTTTTGGCTATTTAGTTTTCAGGGGTGCCTCCTCCCTCCTTTTTGTAATTTCACTTTTTATCAATAGCTTCGGAGTCGCATAATGCTCCTTCCTCAAAAAAAAAAAAACTACAACATGAGCATGGTTGCAAGATACACCTAGAAGGAGACAATGACAATAATGCAGTATTTATTGCAACATTAGTTTAAAAAATGGATAATTGTGACACAAATGAAGTTGTACCGTTTCCATATTTAGACGAGAAAATGACTATAGGACAAGTGATGTTGCAGCATAAGTTTTGAAGGGACGCTTGTGGTGCAAGTGAGATTGTAATGCAAATGTCTTGAAGAAGAAAAGCGCAAACTAAGTTAGATTATGACACAGATATGGAAGAGATGATAACTACAACGCAAGCAAGGTTGAGATGTAGCTTTTGAAGAAAACAATTAAGCAATTATAGCACAGGCAACGTTGCAATGCAGTCTTGATATAATGACGATGATGACAAAAGCAAGGTTATGACATGGGTCTACAAGAATATAGTTGCAATGCAAGCAAGATTTCTACGCAAACATAAATATAATAACAACTATGAAACAAACAAGGTTGCCG